CATTTTTAGAAGAATCCAATTATAATTGAAGAAGAAACTCCATTGAAGATCCATCTTCAAGCTCTATCTTCACTTTGAGCTCTCATGGAGGTTTTTGAAGAAACTTTGGGAGGGAATGAGTTTTGATCTAGGTGCTAGGGTTTAAATGAGATTTTAATGACTTATATACTCTTAAAATAATCATAAACACCTAAAATAACCGTCCTCCAATTTTATAAGACTTGGGGTGAATTTTCCAAAACCCCCCAAGTCCTAAAAGAAAGCTGGAAGATTTTTCAGCACCATTGAGGCCCTAACATCCACGGTCCGTGGGTGAGACCATGCCCCGTCGATGGGTTTAGTTGGTTTCTTCTACAGATCCTCAACCTTCAGACAACATGGATCCATCAATGCCACCCATTGATAGGAAGTTGTCTGGACGATTGACCATCGTTCGAGGCAGTCGCTTGCCACTGCCTGGCAATGTTGAGCTCCAAGCTGGGGTCCTCCTTCTAAGGCCCCTTGTGGGTCCTAAGTGAAGTCGAAACCGGACGTTAAAACTCTAAACACGTACGTATAGGTATTAGGAATATCTCCAAACAAGTACAACATCAAATAAGCCACGCAACATGATAAAACACATCCAAAATAACAAAGACGTCTAAAGGCTATCTTTCGAACGTCACCAAACATTCTTGGACGTTTGACCTCCAAACCTTACCAAACTCAACATTATGACTCTAAACACTATTACAAATCATTTAAGGACCTCATAAACTCATTACTTACTTATAAGAACATGAAAACACATAAGACACATACGTGACTAGTCGTCGAATGTCTTGATCGTCCCTTGATGTTTGACTTCTAACTTCACCAAAATCTTGCGAAATTTCCTCAAACATCATTTTAAATCATCTTATGACTTCAAGACTTCATATCACACACATTAGGCCCTAGTTTCACCTGATTCGTTTTTGAAGGTGTTATGTGTTGTCCCCCTTCTTCCTTCTCCGGGTAAACCTTTTCAGCACTTGGCATTATTTGGTCTCTCTACATAGTTTAATTCTTTTCCCGTTCTTTCTTTATACTATTTTTCTCAATCTTGTTCTTGCTTGCTTTAGGTTTGTAAGGTTACTTGATTGTCTACTTTCTTTCCTTATTGCAATCTTCATCTTCTCTGCTACACTTAGTTATATGCATTGATTTTAAATGAGGAAAAAACAAACAGAAAATTATTATTTTCCAGAAATTTACGATGTTTGTCCTTTTGTGGGACAATTATACAGAGAGGATACATATTCTTGTTGGCACAAATCCTGCATAATTTGGACTCTTAGGAATTATGCTTTAAATATCTAACTTATAAACACTACTATAATATAAGAATTTTAAATTTTAAATCAGTAGTTTTTTTAATTTTTTTAGTTTTATTCATGGTGATTAATTTGTAGTTGTCATTTATCCGACCTAATAGTATAATTTTCTTTTAAAATTATGCATAAGTTATCAAACAAGAATATATTGTGTTACCTAGCACATATTTTATCAAAAAATTATATTATTTATATAGAAAATTCTACGAAGTATAAAAATTAAGAAATATTATTCACACACACAGATATATATATATATATATATATATATATATATATATATATATATATATA